TCTTGCTCAGGATGTGCGAGGAACTTCAATAAGATTTTTCGAGAATATTTCACATTCTTCTCATTTGATGAACTGCAGCTAAACAGCACATAAACACCAAGACATTTTATACTAACATGTGAAGTGGAACGTGACCGTGTAAGGGAAAATGAAAAAATTCAAAGCTGCATCAGATTTTGTACAGGCAGTAAGTTCACACAGGGTGGGTAAAAAAACCCAAAATGATTCATATGGAAGTTGCATGCCTGTTCATGTCATCAGTAGCACACACACACAAAAGCAATCTTTCATTTTACTGTAAAACAATGTACTTATCAACCAAACTTTGAATAAATGGATGCAAGCAATCCTTTATGATCCTTGCTTAATGATTCGCATAAACTTTTCATTCACAAAGCCAACTTATTACTGAGTGCTCGGTTGAAAATGAAAACGTCTTCATGTCTGAATGTTATGGTAAAAGGCAGTGTGAACCTCAGTTAAGAATGAATTTTGCCCCAAACATATTTTGGCCATCATTAATTCCAACCAACTTTTTAAAAATACTTCCATTTATTAACAACATGCATTAACCACACATTCATAAATACCTCAGACAGTTTCCCTATTCAACAACATGCAACTTGACTGTGTATTAACATTTGATAATACCCGCTGAGAAGTGATAATGCCCGCTGCGTAAATCACGCACTGGCACCTGGATATAAGACAGAAATAGCCAATTCTGATTGGTAAAGAGTCTGTGTGCAGGCAGCTTGCCACGCATATGCCAATTGGACAATTTGCACAAGGAATATTCCATAAAATGAATGGGGGTATTCAGGAAAATCAAAATAAAATTTTAGAACAAAATCACTGGAAGTCCATCACACATTGACTTCCTTTGACTCTCTGACTAAAAAGGTATTTATGAATGGGATAAAACATGTGCTTGGCTGGTTTTAATGTTTAAGACCAGCTCAGGAGCATGGAGGGACTAATGCCCCAGCCGCAGGTGAGGGCATTATCAACGCAGTTTAAGACCAGCTCAGGAGCATGGACGCGACTAATGCCCCAGCCGCAGGTGAGGGCATTATCAACGCACGTTTAAGACCGGCCAAGCACATATTTATTCCCTTATTCAGATACCCACATGTCTGAGCAAAGTTGAACAAACTTATCCACGAGTGACAGCACCCTGTGACAATGTAGACTGCTTAGGCTTGCTTCTGCTAAGTTAAGCAATCTCTCAGCATTTGTACACTGTGGACAAAAGATTCATAGACTTCACTGAAAGAATCACATTTACTTGCTTGGTAACCCTATTTACTTGGACTTTATACAAATTTACAAAACACAAATGTTAGCTGGTTGATATAGGACGCAACCTATTTAAACAAAAGGAGGTACTATTACCTAGGTCATACTCAAATTGATTCAAAGTACAATATGCCACCAAGAAGTCCAGCAGGTTGAGGTCAGTTTCATAGTACATTATAAGACTAGTCAACAAACGGTATTTCATTTAAATTAAACTCAGACTTTTTTTCACGTTTTGGATAAATGTGACAAGCTTAGATTTTGTGTGTCAATAACCTAACTGTACTCTTGGTTCAGCTAGTGTATTTGTGTGAAGCTGTAAGTAAACAGTGAAGAATGGATGATGAACTAATGGATAACGCTCTATATATCAATCATAAAATTAAGAATGGATGATGAACATGGAAGTCATGTATGACACCTACATGTATTAAAGTCAGATTGTTGATGCCACAAGGCAATGATCCCTACGTATGTGCAGTGAACAAAGTTTTTGGATGGGATTTACATGTAAGGCAGCATATCAGGTGGGATACAGGTATCTATCTGTAAATGTTCCAGCCAGTGCAACACAAGTTAAGTAAAGTATGTGAAAAGTGCAAATATATGAGATGTGTCAAATACTACTGGATGTGACACAGTAAATAAAATCACTCATACCTTTTAAACTAAAACCGGTACTTTTGTAAAAAGTATCAACTCTTTTTTTTTTTCAATAAGTTGCTGTGAGGAGAAGCAAAGTTGTGCACTCTGGATTCCAATCAGACCTTAGATTCAGGTTGGATTGAACATACATGTAGCTCATTTAGATTCAGATGGGAATGATACTGTAAAATGACAGATCAGATCAGATTGATCATTTTCCCATAATGTAACAAAATCTGATAAAATCCTACTGCTTTTGACTTGATTAAAATGCATGAACTTATCTACCATTACATGTGTATTATCAAATATGGCAGCAATAAGGTTTGTGTTGAACATTTTCCTTTCTTTACTAAACCAATAAAAAACCTTCCCCAAGTTGACATGATCGCTTGTGATTTAATGCATTTATCTTTTATAACCCTACAACAAGGGTGCTTGGCTTGGTGTTGCCACGATGCAGTATTTTTGGTTTTACTCTCAATTTTACAGCCCTGGGCTGTCTTGCTATTTATTTTCTGCCACGATATTGCACAAGTTGATATACATGTAAATGCAGATTAAACAGTGTAAAATGTACATAAATTTATATTATCAGCCATTATGAGCTGTCCAGCCTTACGTTGGTGGCCCTTCTCATTGGTCAACATTCGTTTGATTTGTGTTAAAAAAGCTGTATCCTCCTGACTGATCCCTGTTCAACACTTCCCAGGTTGTATCGTGGCGATACCTGGCTATATGGTGTTTCAGGTTTTATGGCTTCTGACAAGCACCCCTGAACAAAGACACATGTACTCCAATGGGAAGGGCCCCCAACGTAGGGCTTGATAGCTCAGTTGGTAGAGCACTGTTACGGGATTTTGGAGGTCCAAACTTCAATCCTGCTCCCGTCAATTTCTTTGTTTACCCTTATAATTAACATGTAAGCACCCTGTCAGCTTCCCTTTATTGATTGTTTAAAGTTCTTTATTTATGTAAATTAAGATTATGACAGATTGGAATTAGATTCAACACTCTCTGATTCCGATTGAGCTATGAAGGCCATCAGATTGGACTGGATTGAGCCAAGGCTAGCAGATTTGGATTGGATTCAGATTTCACATGGAGCTGTGGGATCAGATTGACCTTTCTGTAATCAACTCCAATACACGTCTTAAGCATGTTAGGGAGAGAATAAGCCACATACTCAGAATTTCATTCATTTCATAACTCAAGTGATTACAGAATCCCTTTATCCGAGTCAAGTTGAATATTACTGCAACACTGTTGGCTAAAACAGTAAACCAGAACACAAGAAATGGTGTGTTTCCATGGAGCGTGAGTGTGTATCAAAGCCTAATTCCTGACCTTGTCATCCAGCTCTTGAAGGAACAGGGAAGCACTGTTCATAGAGCTACAGATGTTGGCAGCTTCTTGGTACAACCTATGCTTAGCAGGTAAGGACCTTTGTATTATGGGTAACAGACACACACGAACATGGGGAGTGCAGAACATCAGACCTTCATCCATAACAGCAAGGTACAAAGATGAGGAAAGGTTCTCTGGTAGGATATCTTTGGCCTGAGAAACAAAAGAGAGTGTAGAGCAGCAAATGAAAACTTATAAAATAATTTTTTAATCAAACCCATTGCTTCTGATTATATCTTGATCATATTATTACATAATACACCTTCATTCAGAAACAATAGAAAGCTGAGCAAAATGACGAGGGGCACTATATACTGTACCTGAAGTATGACATCTGATTGAAAATATATGAAAATCACAAGATGCTGCCTAGGTTTCACTAGGACAGCATTTATTCTAATCAAAACACAACCCATACTGTTATACCAAGGCATTACGTTGACCAGTTTCACTGCCTCACAGTCAGTTTAAGAAAAGTCATGATAGTAGATCATGGTACAAAACACTGCTGTGATTTGGCCGAATTCATTAATCAGAAACTAACTGGGATCCTTTCATGTTTCTCCACTGCCATGCATGTCAAACGAGCAGGTTGAGGACCAAGGCTACATCTAGCGACATCACTAGACTGTGTGTACTTCCCTTGATCAAGTGATAATTATATCATTTTCAGTTTCTTTTAGATCATGACTCTGGAATGACCTTGATCTCTTCATTGGCCTAAATTTTCAACAAAAATAACAATGATTCCCCAGATTTAAACCAAACATGTTACCCAACACTCAATATCAACATTTCTTCCATCCTCATTCTTTGAAAGTGAATCGCCAAGGTTTCTCAACCAAAACTTTTGATGCAGTGTTGGATTTTTTATCACCACGTACATGAGCTCAGCTGACAATGTAGTGCTTTTGCTAAACTTACTTTATGTATAAAAATGTTGGCATTTAATGCCTTCATTGGTTTTTGTTGAGCACATTTTATGCTTGCCATGTGGGTTCTCCAATATACCATTCAGAAAATGTGCACAGGAAGGCTTCTCAATGTCTCTGTCTCTGCCAATGAATGGCCGCTGTGCCAAATTTAAGACTGATTCCTAGTCCTTCCAAATTTATATTACAGACTATTTAAAAAAAAAAGACTTGCAAAAGGAAATAAATTTTGGCTAAGCTTTTTTCACGAGTATAAATGGTTCTGAGAAATTTCATCAATCTCCTCATGTGAACTGCAATCTCCGAAACCTTTCTACAGTAAATCTTGTGAGAATAAAATGATGTCATCACTTACTGTAATTCAGCAACATATACACAATCTAGCACCACAGCTAAATTTGGCCTTGGTCCCCAACCTGATCAGGGTTGCATCGAATTTCACATGTCTCCCAAGTACATCAACCCTTGACACACAATGATCATGCGGCATGTAATTCTTACTTCCAGCATTCTTTTAATCCCAGGCACTTCCTATTAATCACATAGATATTTTCTTTTCTATGTGCAAGGCTGTCATTCTATCATACACACTACACACATGCATGGATTTGTCACTGTAAGCTTTAGGTACTTCTGAATCCATTATAAAAGTAACAGCTCTGATGGAATATAACACCTGTGGTTACCTTTTCAAATGGAACAAGGTCTTGAATCACTGTCTTCACCAGAGTAATGATAGCAATCATGGAGAGCCGATGGTGAACAAACGTTTCCTTGGATACGTGTCCAACAGGGATGGATTGTTCACCATCATGATCACCGTGGCAATGATGATAATGATAGTGAAGAACCTCACCGAGGACTTCAAAGCTATCTGACAACTTGTCAGTCTGAAGTGAACAACAAAATTTGAGTTCAATGAAGACAATTTTAGTCAATCTAGTTTTCAATGTTTCCAGTCCAATATAAATTGCTTACCTTCATTCCGTCCAGAAGACTGAATCCGTGTCTGCCAATAATTGGCTAAATACAAAAGTTTCAAAATAGAGCGACCTCTGTCAGTGTTGCAGTTGAGTCCATCACAAGTCCTTTCACGAAATGTAACGCGGTGAACACTGACAAGGCAATGTTTGTCACAGTTCATTTGAATAGCTTCTGGTTTGGCTGAAGAATGAATCACTTGGGGTGGATGTACATGTATGATGGACTTGTAGGTACTTGTGATGGACTCGACTAGAAGGATCATGTCTACATCACAACAGAGTTTTTCAGTGAAATACAAACACTAGTTCCTTGCAAGTGACAAACTCTGATCATTTCATCCAAGAATCCCTTTCAAAAGCACAACACATATTAAAAATTCAATGAAACCTCAAACTGTCTTTATCAGTTTTCATCCTTAACAAAAATTAACATGTTGATCTACATTGATATACTACCAACTTGCAGTGGTAAGCTACACTACAAATTTGCATTCAGAATCACACCAACAATCAATCTTTAGTAGATCTCCAAAGCAATCAACTCACCAATGCTCTACCTGCTGCACTGCCATCATCCCAGATATCTGTTGTCATGGCAACTCTTACCAGCTTCATAGCCTCATTCAAAAGATACACACTAGCAACAACCACTTCAGTGGTGCCTGTTTTAAGAAGTGGAGTCACATGAAACAAGACATCTGTTGCAAACTGAGGCAAGGTAAGCTGAGAGAACTGAAGGACGATGGCATCCTCACTATCTGTGTCTGAGACAGATGCAGTGATGTCGGCAACTACAGGACTTGAGTGTCTGCAAAATAAACATTTTACACGTATGTATAGTATGTTGAATAGATCTGCAAAAAGGATGGGTGTGACAACTTTTATTTCAACATACCACATTAGGTATCCAGAAACTTGAATTATATTTTTCATTTTTAAGGGCAATTTCCTATTACACGAGCTCAAGTTAAAGATCGGTTGAGAGTTTGACATTTCATGTACTCTTTGCCTAACAAGAAACTATACAGTTGCTATGAACTAACATCTAGATGACTTGACAAGAAAACATATGCACTCCAACAGCAGATCTATACAATCTAGCAGTTAAGATGTAATGCTTATGTGCTGTATGGTGCGACCAAAACAGTCTCATTTGCGCCTAAAAAATGATAAATACCAACGTTTAATTCTTATCACCAATGGTGACCATGATTTGTGCCTGTTCATCACCCACCTTGTCAGTCGTATTGTAAGAACAGTCATTGCCCAGTTTTCTTCTACCTGCACTGCATGTATATTCACCCCTTCCACTTAGTTTGTGAGCATGCGCTAGAATTTGGCTGAGTCGTGATCACTTTCTTTTGCTTGTTAAAATGGTGACACCAGCCAACAAAGCCAATACCAAAATCTATCTGTGGAAATCTTTCAAACTGTGTAAAAGTTTGCTGAATTTATACCAGAGAAATATAATCAAGCTTCAGATTTCATTTTGTGATGTGTTTCTTGTTAATCATAAATGACATTTCGAAGAAAAACGGGTGAAAGATGTCTGCGAAAGTTACATTTCCAAGAGTAAAAAGCAGTATTTTAAAATCAAAATTTTAAATTGTTCCCCAGTTTTTCCACGTGTGCTGCACATCTTGGTACGTGTAATTGAACGAGTGTTTAAAAAAGGAGACCATGTTATGTTTAAGCTATTGCGAATTGTCCTTTGTTCAATTTCAATTTTGGCTCTTGGTCGACTGCTTGGCCACGATCAAATTAATGTGTGCATGATGTGCGGGTATATGTACATGTACTCTATTAGTTCAGATTTCAGTTTCAATACATTTTCCAAGTATACATGCACTAGTACGGATAAATGCTCCTCATGGAAAATATTCAATTCGCAATAACTCTAAAATACTACTGATGTCTGATTAGGTCTTAATACACACGGCACTTAATTTTGTTTGTTGTGATAAACTGGAGAAAAAGAAAATGAATGTGGACGTATTTTCTTTCAAATCGGGTTGTGTATATTTTTTTAAAAATAACTATTTTTGTGCAACTGGGTTCATTTAATAGAGTGGTCTAATTTCTAATCAATTTTTAGTTATTAGGTTATCTCCGTGAACTTTACTTGTTTGTATAAACCATGGTCTGCATCTAACGTTGCCTGCCTCGAAATCCACAGTTACATGTAAGTGTTCAAGTGCGCATGTGCTAACTCTCGACTAAGTGGTGCACAAAGGGAGGGACTATACTTGACTGAGCAATGTGTCTCTATAATTACACGTTTTTTTTCTGTGTCTTACTATGTACACCACATGAGCCCACGTTAACTGCAACGTAGCTTGCATGTACATGAAGTAAACAGGTTTGTGGTCGAACACTGTACAGCATGTACAAAGAGTATGTATGGGGAGCTGAGACGTTTTGAATATTCATTAGATGCACTAGCAGACTATGGCACGATTCCAGCACTGCAACGCTCTATTTTGTATTCAGCACTTCATGAATTAAAAGAAAATTTTCACACAAACTTAAATTGTTATTAGACGGCCAAAGTATTTTGAGGAATCTCTGCCAATCTATATACGTGTAGGTACAACATTTGTTATGAACAGTTCCTGCTTTGTGCTTTCCTGCAAATACTGCATGCAGGTACATGTACTTTTGGTGAAAAAACTTTGTGCAAGATTTTGAAGCAATTTTAATAAAAGAAACTGACTTTCCAACATGCAGTTTTAGACACGACTATATTAAAAGCAGTACCATGGGGAGCAAATGAATATTTAACACTGAAGGGGGAAATATGGTTGCTATTTGGTATCAAAATTTCTCATTTTGTAAATGCGTCTTTCCACGAAGTTTGGGCACAGTTTGTGACAGCGTCCCTTGTTACATCAGTGAAAATAAACATCCCTGCATGTGGTTTCTAAATTGACTGTTCCTCTTCATTTTGCCACAGATAACCTACATGTAGACTCCAAAAAGCCTCTGAAACTGTTTTTCAGAGAGGGGAAAACATGGTGTGGATATGTGCAAGTCCAGACTCCACACAACGCCATCGTACCCTGCATTATGTGGACTTCTTGTGTGCAGAGGTCCACAATATGTATGACAGGCCTGTACACACACAGCATGTTTTGCTTCCAACACGCAGCCAGTGTCATGATCTCAATGCTGTCTTGCACAGGACATGTCTGATTCACTTGGCTATGGCTGGAATTTACACAAGATTCTATAGAAACTGGCCATGGCCACAACCATAGACTTGTGCATAAATTCTTGCGGTAGCCAAGTGATTTGCACTCTGCCTATTGCAGTTAGTTCCCTTTTTAAGTGTGTGTACATGTACACGGTATAGGTCCAGTGCCCGGCTGTTGGCGTAATTTAGCACGTGTTTGGGGTTAGTCAAGTAAACTATATCGTGCAAACCGCTGGACTTTGATCGACTGAAAGTTAGCTTTTTTAATTTTGTTACTTTGTATTAAGTTGTTTAATTCTTTAGAACATATATTTTTAATGGCATATGGGAAATACTGGCTCCAGTAAACTGACAAATTCAGCTGCCTTTAGGCCCATTTCTAGCCCTGTAATACGGAAAGCTTGGGGTAAATCATAAATGTTAATAGTTAAAAAATGAGGGACCCATGCTTACGGATACAATGCATCCAAATTCAACTAAACTCTTTAAATTAACAAAGGCAAACTACATAACTTACACAGAGCTTGATGTGTCACCATCTCTTCCATCTCCTCTTACACGAGGTTCATTTCGACCAATCACTGAAGGTCTTGAGCCTGTGCTCAGCGTTGATTGGCTAGTTGAACAGGATGCTCTTCCCATTCCAGAGGATGCGGTGGATGCTGTTTGAGATCCAAAATCTACATAATATTGGGAAATAAATGTTTGTTCATCAGACTGAACAAAAGTTATTTATTATTTTTATTTGGGTTTTTAATTATTTTTTTCTGCTTGAACCAAAATGAGACAAATGCTATCCAGTTTATTTCTATGTCATACTCCAATGACTGAGAAAAAGAATGTCTGCTGCCATTTAGACTCTACAGATTTGCATACCAAAAGTCAGCATCTCAATAAATAAGATACCAGTATGAAAAATAACCTGCAACCTTGGATCAAAATTGTAAAACGTCAATTTAAATACGTCCCTATAACTGGAAAGCTACACCACACACATAAAATGAACATACTGCTAACAATGGATATTGGTAACAGCAATTTTGAAAAGTTGATTATAAATTTAGGATTAATAATTTTTGGATTCAAAGAGGCAATCAGTTTCCTTTTTTTTTTTAGAAATCTAAAAATATGGGCACAAATTAGCCATCACACTTATTTCTAGCTTTCCACCTGTGTAAGACAAGGTTATTCAGGCCGACAAAGACGATACCAAAACTAACAATTTACATGAATGGGCGTTAAAAGTGGCACTGTATCCAAACTTTCAGATCCTATAACAGGTGCAATCCAGATCAAATTAGACTTACACTCTTACTCACAATGATGAACCCTCTTATCTGCTCAAAAACTTTTGCAAAGAAAAACAAGTGTTTATGGGTGTGCACGAGAATACTGTTAATGAGATCTAGAGTGCACCCAGGAGAGAGTACCAGCACTATCAAGAACAATAAACAATCTAAATGACCTCAGTGGTAGCCATAGATGCCCACCCAATTATGAATCAATCCCCTTTAGTGAGTGACATTGTTGGATGATTCCTTTGCACATGGAAAGTAAACCAAAAGGTTCATATGTCAATGAACTCTTGTAAGCCCTCATTCTACTGATGTCCATTTATATGCAGATGCAAGGTTTATCGAGTGAGTGCAAAAAACATAGGGATTTGCAAGACCTCTCTAGCATATACAAAATCCCGTAAATGCACATTAATTAATAAGAGAATAAATGTGCGCTTGGCCAGTCTAACGTGCATTTAAGACCAGCTCAGAAGAATGGACACGACTAATGCCCGTGCCGTAGGTGAGGGCATTATCAGCGTTCGTTTTCCTGAGCAAGGTCTTAAATGAAGACTGGCCAAGCACATATTTATTCCCATTCATAAATACCTCTTTATTCAGAGAGTCAAAAAAGAAGACGGATTTCTAATGATTTGGGTCTAAATCTTTACTTTCATTTTCCTGAACACCCCGGTCCATTTTATATTTTATTATTTTATTCCCTTTGAAAGTTGTCCAATAGAATCCCCTTCAATGAACGTGCACATGGACTCCTGACCAATCAGACCAGATTAAAGTGTCTCCTATCCATGAGCCAGTGTGAGATTTACACAGCAGGCATTTTCACTTCTCAGTGGGCATTGTCAAATGTTAACACATGGTCAAGTGATGTGTCTCTAAGAACAGAAATAGAAAAACTGTCCCAGGGACTTATGAAATAAAGACAGTACATAGTATACATCCCACACTTACCAAATCTAAAAAAAAACAAAAAAAAACCAAAAAAAAAAACAAAGCAAAAAAAAAAAAACCCCAGGCCTGCAACAGTATCTTTAAATATCTTACAATAAAGGAACTAAATAACAGCATCAGACAATCTGCGAAATCCTTCTGCCCGGAATGTTGTCATTTTCAAGGACACTATGCTTTTCTATACTTTTGCTAGTGATTGTCTGGATGGAAAACCATAGGAAAATATGACTAGTTTAAATACCAAAATTGTTAACAGGAAAAACAGAAAAATGTATTTGGTTAACAGGCAAAACAGAAAAATGTGTTTTGTTAACAAAATTACAGATTTTGTTTTAAAAAACTGCTATTTCCAGACATTCCACCTCTTATTTTTCCCAACCACTAAAACTTTCTACTCATAATGCAAGGGTAGTTACTGCATTTCTTGATTGTCAAAGTGTTTTTTATAAGCTTTGCTGGGTGTAGACAGTGTTTAACTGATTTGAATGTAACACGGACATGTGGTCATATACATGTATGCATGTTGCCATGCAGTGACCGTGGGGACAGCAACATTGGAAGGAGTTTGCACATTTCCCTTCTGTAAAGTGACTGTAGTAAGGATAAGACTTAAATTGAAGTGTATCTGGATTCATAATGAATACAAGAAGCTTTGCATTCTGCAGTTTTTCTCTCAAAATGTGTTCTTCTCTGGGGGTCATGTTGCCATGGTAACAGACTGACACTTTCATAACCTGGCTTTCATTAGATTAGTTTTAGATGGCAAAACTCTCTGAAGTTTGTAAATAAAATGTAATGGTACCCACAAGTAAAGCTCTTTGTCAAGTTCTGATCTTTAAAGCTTGTTTGTTTTAAAACCCTTTTTGTGCTGCAGGAGGGAAATTACATGTAGAAATCAACTTTTTTGTAAAAATGTGCAAAAATGTAGCATTTTAACCCAAAAGTTGATAAAACACCTCCAGAGTTGCCCGAGGGCAGCAAAGGGTCTTTGAGTGGATTTCTATTCACCCTGAAATTGTGTATGTAGAGGTAATGCCAAAAATACTGGGTTTTTTTAAACCAAAAATTATAGGGCGAAACCAGAAAAACACCTCCTTCTGGAGACTATAACACATCCAATTTGCATTCACAATATCAAGTACTGCCTATAAAACCATTATGTAAAATTTGAAGAAAGCAGAGCAAAGTATACGGTTGAAGCAGTGGCAAAAAAAGTTTCATCTGGGACCACTGCTGAAATCTACACTTTACCCACAATGTTTTGCATTTAAAGCCATAGACTTACATGTACAGTACATTGCGATTGAAAGTTAACACCAAAATGGGAAAAAATTTTCACGTATTTTCTCTTCCCAGGGAATTCATTTTCATTTCACAAATTGTGAAAAAGTGTGCCAAAAGTGGGAAAATATTTTCACACCTTTTCACACAAGTGGGAAAATATTTTCACAGATTTTCCCCCAAGTGGGAAAAGATTTTCACAGATGTTCTCACAAGTGAGAAAAGATTTTCGCACTTTTTCTCACAAGTTGGAAAAGATTTTCACAGATTTTCTCTGGTAGTGGGGCAATGAATTTGCAAGCTTTTTCGATTTGCCAACGTTCAATTTTGGGACAAGTTTTGGAAGGCAAAAAGTTAGTTTTACAAAGTGAGGACCTTATTTCTCCTTTTTTTATTTTTATATTTATTTATTTTTTTGTAGTCATAGGGTCTTTTAAGAGGCCAAACAACACCAAATAATTCATTCACACAAAACATCTTGTAACGCCCCTGTAACAGGAACTGTGTTTCACAGCTGTCCATATTAATCCATTTAAACCAAACTTTGCAATGCTTTTTAATGACTGAAATACATTACTTACTGAACTTGTGCTGAACAAATAGTAGAAAATGATTCACAATTACAGCTGTCTATACATGTGATTTATTGTATGGTGTAAACAGATTAGCCCAAACGTGTAGGTGGGTGGCAATATAGACCCCTAATACATGGGGGGAGGAGTGATTTTTTAGTAGAATTACATTGTGGAAAATTGACCCCAAAACAAGACACCCATCTCAAGTCATAGATTTGCAAACATGCACCCCCAAGTTCTACAGCTGAACATCCTTTATCACACACCCCCCCTTCACAGGTACATAAAAATCAGGATTTGTCTTAATTATCAGATTTGGATAAAATCTCACATCTCTAGTTGTGCATACAATATATTAGACAAATTATATAAACAGCTTAATTCCTTTTAGGTGACTATATACAATAAGCTGGGCAGTAATACAGACTTGTTAGGCCTGAAGCATAATTGCATTTGATCAACGGATAAAGAACAATGAAAGTTTGTGGTAAGTTGAAGTTTGAAAACTGATTCCATCTGGATGCTTACACGACTTATTTCAAAATAAAACAGACTTTGGTACTGACACACAGGTACTCAGATTGGACTTGATCATTCTCCAGTTTGCGTGCTCAAGTGGTTGTATGTTAAGATATCTTGGTATAAATCCCTCCCAGCAATTTTTGTTCACAACCTGTCGGCCGGAAAGGACTGGTAATATGTACTATTCACAACAGTGCCACATGAATTGCCAGCTTCTAAATTTCTTTATGCAGGATGGACACCAGTAGAATTTCCATCTTGTGATTCTTAACCACTTCATGCCGGGGCATTTTTCAATGTTGATAATGCTGGGCCGGCATGACTATTATTTTTTCCGTTTTCAAAAT